ATAACTAATATAATAATTAAGTGCAAAAAATAATAAACACCAATCACTGACTTTATAGACTGAAAAAAAAAATTATTAAACGAACAGGCCTATCGTTTGTGATTAGCATTTGAAAATATCTTACAATATTTCAATTGGTTACTTTGTAGGCATAATATTTAAATAAATTGTTGGTTCTCGATTAGCAATTAAAATTTAAAAAATCTGCACCACTTAAATATAAGGTTACTGCTTATTGTTTGCATATCCTTGAATTGGTCAATAAAATCAATTCAATATTTTGATTTGTGTTTTATTGGAAGTTAAATAACCTTTTTTATTAATTGAAATTAACACAATTTCTTAATTGAATTTTGGAGGGTTATAAAAAATATTTAATCTGATATATTTTTAATTATAACAATTTATATTATATTTTTAGAGATTAAAGGTGAGGAGTTGCGGACTGGATATTCCTAATATGGCAGATATAATGGACGACCGGGGGGGGGGGGGGTCGCATTGTGTGGTTCACCAATGCCATAGGACTAGGTGTTTTTACACGGCTGGAGAATTGGATTGGAAGTGTACTGTGAAGTTTTTCCAACAAAAGTTTGATGACTGAGCAGCATGATGATGATAACGTCGTTGTCATCAACAATTCACCTGCAGGCTTCATCAATTTAACGTTCTGTCCTGCTTTTCTGTGCTATCTGTCAGAGTTGACTCCCCTGTTTTCCAGGCCAGTAGTTACGTCACGCATTGGAACGCCGCCTACTTTTCGAAGTTATAGTGACTATCATATCGATGTGTCATACCAGGGCTTCCGCAAATCGACGCAAATGCGCCAACAATTTGTAAGCTTACTTTACAAACTACAAGTCAATATATATAAGCGTGTGTAAGAAAAGTTTGTTTATAGGCCTACACACTTTGTTGTATAAGCTGTTAGAGAGAACTTCTATTACTTTCCAGCTCGTTTCATGTATTCCATTATGCATAGGCCGACATCTCTTCTACGATATTGATTGGAATTTTACTTTGTATTGGATTTGATTTAAAGCTCGTTTTTAAAATGGAATGTAGCCCTAAGTTGTTTCGTCATGAGCAAAGGCCAGCAACATTTGGTGACTTTGGATTTGATGTCAGGGATTTGATACACAAATCTAAAAGTTTAGATAGACCTGTCACTTTTGCTGACTTCGGAGTTGATGTGGAAAAAGAAAAACCTATTGTACACACAGCAATTGGAACAGTAAGTGAAAAATAATATTTCACTGTCAGTCGTCATTCTGTCGTAAAAACATGGTACTTTATGGTGTTTTTACAGCTATTGTTTTATTTTTCAACAACATTAGGCATATCATACAATAATACAGTAATACAGCAGTATATATTTCAGGTCTATTGTATTTCATATAGATGTATCTAGTAGGCCTATGTCTATTGTGGTGTATAGTATAGTGCTGCAGTAGTATTAATATTAATAATAATAATAGTTATGATGATGATGATAATGATAACAATAATCATTATAACAATAATGTTAGTTGTTGAGAAAATTCAAATCAGCTTTTGCTTTGCATGGTTTTTGGAATTCAGCGTTTATCCCTAGATATATCATTTAAAATAATGTTAATAATAATAATAATAATAATAATAATAATAATAATAATAATAATAATAATAATAATAATAAATCAGTGACAGCATTTTCAAATAATTCAAAAAGTTAATCGAATTCATCAAATTGATGATCATCATTGTCATATGTAAAAATATAAAGTAAAATTAAAACCATAAACGTTTGAGAATAGTTCTGAAATAAAAAAGTAAAGTACAGCAGCTATATTATAATAGACAGCCAGGCGCGGATCCAGTGGGGAAATGGGGGCACATGCCCCCTCCCCGTTTTGCCACTAGATTTTAAAATGTCAACATATCAATGTTGTGTATTGAAAATAAGCGATACTCTCTTATCTATTCAGAAAATGTGTTCCCCACCCCCACCCCCCACTTCTAAAAATTCTGGATCCGCCCCTGCCAACTCAAACATGGACGGTTTGAGGGATCTTCATACTGACTCTGAATATTATGTTAAAGAGTTGTTTGTGGGTTTCATATGTCTTCATAACAGTCTCTAGGGACTAATGCGCATGACTAATTTGATAAGCTATCTATGGACGCACGTGTCTTCAATGAGTATTATGGCCTATACCAGGGAGCTATAAAATATTTGAGCTCCCTGGTTATACGGATCAAACATTATGGACTTTGATCTTCTTATTTGAACTATACTGGCATTCCCACGTTAGTAATCATTTTTTTAACTTGTCTTTTATTACCTCCTTGTTATAAAATGCATGAATATGTCTATGTTCTTTCACCCAGTTAAATCATCAATAGGCCTATATGCAAATAAGCCTATAAGTACACCTCAACATATTTTAAAATATTAAAATATAGATCATCTTCCAATGAGACGGATATTGAAATAATTATATTGTTTTCAATTATTATTATTCAATTATTTCTACAAAAAATCCACAAAATGTGAATTTAAGGTAGGCCTATATGATACAATTAAAAACGTTGCGTCTGCCGATTTTCTCATGTTAAATTTTAATTGAAAGATAAGAAGTTACATAGAAGTATGAATTAAGCAATTTAAGTATTGAAGTTTAATTTGTTCCAGACAGTATATCTATATATAGCAATAGATATATATTAAATAACTACATGATTCATGTCTTTACCATCAACCAACATAAGAACCGATTTTGGTAACTTCGTCACTGCATTGTCATGTACTAAATGACTCACGAAATTGGCTAGTATATGAACATTATGTTCGTTAGATAATTTAATATCGATTACTTGAGTCACATCCAGCAACGAATCGATTCCACGTGTGATTAGTGATATAGGGGGCACTGACTATCATTTTGCAAGCTGTTACCATCACAGAGGCCTAGTACCAATATTACGATACGACTTAATTCGAATACATGCACATTGTGTATTAGGATGATCAGTTACAACGTTAAGAGGAAATTGATGTTGACGTGACCGTTTAATTCCAAAGATATATTGACGCCGAGAAACGTCTTCAAGAAACTCGATTTCTTACTATCAAATATAGCTTTCTAAAAATTAATTTCCATTAAAATGCAAGTAACGTGCCACGTTTAAAATAAATTAAACCTTTGCATAAAACTGTGTGATGTTCAATATTGTAGCATTGGCTTTGGACCGGATTTTTGCGACCCTGGGAATGGGCAGCAATCTGGTTACCACAGAGCTAACTCAGCGACCCTGGATTGGAAGGCACTGGCAATCTTATACCATTGAGCTACGTAACTTCAAAATACTAGCTGCAAAGACTTAGTAGCTATGCACCGTTTAAAAATAATCTAAGAATATATACAATAAAACGAAAGATAGAATATAGTTAATAAAACAATCAAGCCAGTAATATTGTAAAAATTAACATCGGCAAAATGAAATTTAATTGTAATCATCATCATTTTTTCCTCATCATCCTAAGCTATACTAGCAATCATACCACACTATCAAGTTGTTTGGAGCCAAATATTTCTGGATTGAAATTTGTTAAATTAGTATTAATATCATCATCGTTATATCACCTTCGAAATCATCATCACTGACATCATCATCATTATAGGCATCATCATAGGAATATCATTATCATCAGCTTATCATTGTCATCATCATCATCATCATCATCTTCATCCTCGTCATTATCATTTTCATCATTAGGCAAAAAAATAAAAATAAAATATAACATTGTGTTGGCCACGTTTTGGTACAATCCCAAAAAAATGGGTAGGTCGGTAGGAAAACTTTTCTTTTTTTTTGTTTTAACAACCAAAAACGTGTTTACGCCTAAAAGGTAGAAGATAAACATATAATGCAACAATTTTGGATTCGCATCGCGTACGATCCAGCAAACAGTCTAGGCCTTTGCCCCGAGACTAGCCAAGGCTATTCCAGCCTTATTTGCTCATAAAAATATATTGTTGTTGTAGTCAAGAAAAAAAAACCAGCTAAAATGCCGACCCTGAATTTCGTAAAATTTGGGTGATTTTCAATCTATTGGAACTTAGGGAACGAGGCAACTATGTAGGCTGTATACAAATTTGCAACTCACATTTATTACCGACAGCAGCAGATCAAATTGAATCATTAACACATGTGACTTTGATGTGGGACAAGATTGTTGCGGAAAGGAGGAAGTAAAGCCTTACCCCTACGGCCAGATCGGTTGTCGATTTTTGTAGGGCAAGGCCAAGGGGACCGAGTCTAATTTTTTTGAGATGGACCGTTAATTTGGAACCTGACAATTGCTGTTTGTCTAATAGTCTTTAATGATCTTTAAAATTCAATAATAGCTAAAACAGCGTATTCATTGTTCAGAGGGCTTCTGAAAAAAAATATGGATCTCTGAGATCTTGAAGGGGGGTTGACGGAAGCTCAAGACACTCTATAAGCCTATTGCAAATTCATTTCTATTTTAACATGTTGATAAACTGTACTGTAAGTTGACTATGAGGTTATTGTACTATGCACGTGTATCAAGACATACAAATACAAGAATGTATAATGATATTTATTATATATATATATAGGTCTCTATAATTATATAAATATATATAATAGAAACATAACATTTATTCAAGTCGAATTCGGACACGCCTGTGTCCTTCCACAGACGTATTACCGTACGCATGAGTCACATTACCAAACACAGAATGACGTAATAATTATTCATCTATTTATTTGGCAAATTGACGAATGCAACAATTTTAGTTATTTGTAGGTAGAATTGTTAAATGTTGTTTTTAAAGAGAATGTTAGATAATTAACTATCATTAATTATATAATTGTGGGTTGCAAATTCACATTGATTGGGTATTGAAATTGGACTACATCCATATTATTACTGACACAAATTTACAGATCTTTACTTTTCAAGGTGAATTACAAAATATTAATTATGAATGTCAGTATGTATGATGGCTCACAGTGGCTTTAAATTAGCAATTGTACGGTAAATGCACCCATGTGATAACTATATATATTGTTCTTTCCTAGTGCCGCAAGTTAAGTAACCTCGATTGTAAAGAGAAGGTGTTCGTCTGTCTCTCGTTATTTACGATGTTATTCTGCATCGGATTGACAATTGAACGACTTTTGATTGTCGACATACAATCTTCCAATTTCACGTTTGTTCTTCTTGTTTTAGTAAACTGTGGTAAGAAATTTATATATATATATATCTTTCATAAACAGACTTTCACAATCCTGTTTGAAGCTATTTTTTGTGTCATTTTTGTGTGTCTGCGTGGTTTGAGAGTGGTGGCCCAGGGGCTGCGATTGTGGCTTTTGAAGTGTCGATAGCGCCACCTTAAAGTCGATAAATATAATTCAAAATCCTATCCTCATTTCTCGACGCCAGAAAAATTATCCTATTTAATGACCAGCCTTTTGAGGTTATGAATAGATTAGACACATTCACCATGAACGCTTTCCATGTGAAATAAGAAGTGTGCTGATTTTATTTTATTTATTTTATTTCAACTTTATTTACAGAGGGTAGCCCTTCCAGCTGAACTTGAAGGCCAGTTAATGTTCATGGACCCTCTTTAAAATTTCTATAAAATACATATAGGCCTAATATACAAAACAAGGCCTATATAACTATACATCAACAAGACAAAATAAGTGTGAAGATAGCATTATTATAAGTAATACCGGTAATAATAATAATAATATAGGCCTAATAATAATAATAATAACGATAATAGTATTAGTAATAGGCCTAATAATATAATTTGATATATCCTATGATACTGACAATGATATTATAACTGTCATACGATTGATTTTTTATTGTTGATAACGTGTTTATTTTTATTTTTTGTAGTGTTTTGTGTATATTATGTGGTACACGCAGTACTTCGGGAGCATCCATGGGAACTGTTTGCCTTCGGTACAGTAGTTTTAATGGTACTGGCCATCTGTATTGCTAACTACATTCTAACGTATCATCACACACAGGATCACGTCAAGTTGGTACGTCATTTATTAAGTAAATATTTCAATATAATACTCAATACTCGCCTATAAATGTAGGCCTACAAAAGCGCAGTAGCAAGAACTGTTTTCTATTGTCCGCCGATCTACCTATAGTAAGTTCAAGCTTGTGTTGACATTTGCTTCCCTTTTCCCGTTATCATTTTTTTTGCATTCCATATCTCCCATTGGGTTCCTTTCGTTCACTACTATCGTTTTCCATCTTTTTCATTGTAACATGTCGTTGATGACAATCATTCTTCATCCTATACGAATAATAGTTATTGACCATTTAAATGACCAAAAACGCCGTAGAGTGGAAATGGTGGCACACTTTGTATAGGGTTATCTGACTTGTTGAAACGATTAATAACTTCGTGAGGAATTGTTATTTTATGAGTTTCTCGATGATGCGAAAAATTAAGTACCGCGACGTTCATCCAAAACAGAATTATTACTAAAGTCTGGGTTCACATTACAGCGATTTAAAACCACTAGGAATTGCGAAAAATTGTTCTTGTTCAACGAGTCTAAACAGTTCTAGTGTGTACGGTAACTTTAGCGAAAACATATCCACGTTTTTTGCACTTAACTTGGCAATACGCTCTTTCGAGAGGAATGATTACTCAATGGTATAAGTCTAGTTTTTTTTTCTGTATCTTTTTCGCTTTCTTTTTCTTTCAAATTTCATGTAGAGTACCGTACGCCAGTTTAATTTTTTTTTATACATTTACAATATTGGCTCATGCCTCTACTCTTGGCCTTTTTTTTATACTATATTAATGCAAATGCAAATGTACGTGCAAAATTTTCCCGTTGATGTTTAGTTGAGTGTTTGATTTATTTGTTAAATTTTTATTGGTTTTGTATAAGTTTGCACCATCAATTCATGTGTGCCGCTGATTGAAAAGTGTTTTCTAAAGCGTTTTCCAATAAATTGATTGATTGATTGATTATTAGATCGTATACAGTACTGAACATAGGCCTAATTCTAATGGGTCAGGAATTCCATGGCAGACGTTCAGGAAATTAGGGTGGGTTTACCTCGCGTTGTTCAGACACGTGGGTGTAGATAATGCTATCGTCATTACCGGTATTTTATGTGGATTTCTAATGATAATGTTACGCTCTAATGCAGATATTGGCTTAATATTCATAAATTAATTTCCACTAACAGTGTCGATAACAACATAATAAGATTCGGACGTCCCCGTATTGAAGTGAAATGCAATATAAAAGCCCATGTGGCAATGTGGGTAATAAATATACTACTGTAACAAAGAACTTTGACAAGAATGTAAGAATATAATGAAATTAGAGAGAAGGATATGTCACGCCAGAATGCATTTCATTATAGATTGAAAAAATCGAAGATGATACCACCAGAGTACTGTGCGTAAAGAGCGACAATTAATTGTGGAGCCATAGAAACATTAAAAATTATTAAATTTATTAAAAATTATTTAAAAAATAAAAGAGATTTGTCTTTTTTAACAAAGGTTCGTCTTGTGTTGATAAGCTGTGTTGCTCCGTTCGTGTTAGCATTAGCCATCAAAATCGGCATCAATTATCACCGTGCAAGGAATCTTATTTTTAGAACAGTTGGTGCCAACTTACAACTTCAACGTAAGTAGAGAAAATCTTGTTTTTAACGTTCTTAGATCGTTTTGTATTCTGCTCATAAATATCGGCGAATAAAACTTTAATAAAATACTTGTTGATCATAGGATATGTATAATGAATATAAATTAATAAATTATATGATAATGAATAAATAAAAATACGTTGTAAAATTATCAAACGGGCGAATTAATTATTTAAAAAACCGACCACCAGACCAATGAACAATCGAACGATGAATGAACGAATGAATGAATGAACGAATGAATGAACGAATGAATGAATGAATGACAGGCGAACGAATGAACAAATAATAATTCTGTAAGTAGGTCTAAAAATGTAACGAACAATCTCAATGATCTCCGGTTAAATTATGCAATACACATAATGATATTAATTAAACAATAATTAATAAACTTTATAGGGCCTACAATATCCCACAACAAACCACTACGATGTCTGTTTGCAGACGGCGCACTATATAATCTTGTTACTGTATTACAATATATTCCTATCTACTGATACAGAAACGTTGCATTTCAGATATTTGTGGCAAGATGTATTTATTTGCTGATTTACAGAAATTCGATTTACAACTTCAGGTAGGTTGAAGAAGGCTGTTGAAATAAACACCAGACCTATAACAAGAGTTTCAAATAGAAAATAAATTGCGTTCATCATACGCATTTCATACCGTGTAAATGAGATAGGCCACATACAGAACGAAAAGCAAACATAAAATATGATACATCAATGTTATGTTTTAATAATGGTCCATATGTTATTAGTGAATCAAGCTTACAATAATAATAATAATAATAATAATAATAATAATAATAATAATAATAATAATAATAATAATAATATTAGGTCTAGTATAACAGTATAGCAAGAACTACTAAAATAATTTAATAAACTGCATTAAATAAGTTTAAACAATGCGCTAAAATTGGACCACTTATATTTTTCATAGATTAGTATGTTGGTGCTGGTGCTTAAGGAGGGCGCAAGTTTAAATTTGTTTGAAGAAATAGTGTTAGGCGTCGGGATTCCGCTTGGCTTAATCTGGAACGTGCTAGGATACATATCGGTGAGTAACGCGCATGTACACACACTCTATCAAATAATTTAATGCGACAAAAAAAAAAAAACTCACGTGTAAAAATATGAAATAATGAAGTATGCCTAAAGCGAAGCAATGCTAGCTGAATACGGCATTTATCTTGTTCTCCAGGGAGTATGATTTGCTGATATAAATAAGCGATAACAAGAATTAAAATTTTATTAATTCATAAAAGTACCCAAATGATTGGTTTGATTGATGTGTAGAGCAGCCGGGTTATGACGATGTGTGGGGCAATCTTGCTTGTCATCACTATCTTGTCATTTCTTTCACTTATAGGCCTATTCAAATGTCTATTCTATTTTTAGATAATGAAGATGATATTTAGGGTTAAGCGGGCTCAAGTTATGACCCATTAAATTCGTACGCATTACAATCAACAACTCACAATTTAGCTATTAATATTTCATGATATATTATTATTTATTAACAGACTGAAGGTCAATAAGGGTCACTACTCTAAGTGAAAGCTTAGGCAATTAAATTAAACAAAGGAAAAGAAAATAAGAATATCAATAACAATAACAAAAATAATAACTTTTCAATTATAATATTAATGACATTTGAAATATAAATGATAAAAATATCATAACAATACATAATTAATAATACTTATAGAACAATTACCGGTATTAGCATAGTAACGTCGTAGCACCACTGAAACTTTAATTGGCGCTACACAAATCCTTGTTGGTTGATTGATTTTATAATAAATTCATTTGAAGTAAAGACAGAATAGCATACACCTGGCCTTTAATGACCGAATAATTTTATATATCTTAAATACCCCATAAATATTTTGGCTTTTTATGCATTTAAGCTGAGTAACTTGAGCTGTGTATATGTCTACAGAAGCGCGATGTTTAGTTCCTTAAAATGGGCATATGTCCAAGATGCATTAAAGCTTGTAACTTTAACTACTTTTTTTTTCTAAAAAAATACATTTTAGGTATGGAGAGAAAGTAAATCTTTAGTGGCCATATATTTATCAACAAGTTGGATTTTTCCTGCATACATTTTGTACAAATACATTGATGTGAGTATAAAATTGCTTTATTTTATTATTATTTCTCATTGCAAATGAACTTTATCTTTCTAAAGA